TAGTCAATCTCGAGAATTGGACATTTTACAGACTTTTACAGACTTGGTCTCTTAGTTCTTAAGTCAGCATCCACGAAGATCTTTAGGCCAACCTTCAACTGGTCAATGTTCGTGTTTTCCCAGGCCTTGCAGGAGGCTGATCGTTTTCGTGTCCTCGCGCAAAGGCGCCGCGAGGTGCGCTGCGACGTTGTCCTTTTGCGTATGTCGAAATAGGTGATCTTAGTGCCAATTGCATCATTGAAAAAAATCTCTCTAGCTACCGATCGATTGATGGATCGATCTATCATGATCTATCTATCTACCTATCTATTCTGTCGATCTATCTATCTGTCGATCGATCTATCTATCTACCTATCTATCTGTCGATCGATCTATCGATCGATCCGTCTATCTACCTATCTATCTGTCGATCGATCTATTTTTTGACTATCTATGACAAAGACCGACGGACCGACAGATACGTAGATAGGTTATCTAATGACCATTAACTGTCCCATTCTTTTTATAGAGAAAAATAGTGAAGACAGCTTTGGCTCTCCCGAGGCTGTGACAAAGACTGAAGAGGAGGTCCAGGGCTGAGATTTTCATGGAGATTTTACCCATCAGAGATGGGATTTTGATGGGATTTTCTGTTTCAAACGCAGCATCTGCAAATGGATGGAAGTTGGAGGCTTTCACTACTAGATCACTCGGTGGTGCAGACTCCAACTCGAAGAGTGCCTTTGATATCCTTTGATGGGTTCTACATGTTTTTACTGCAATTCTAGGCAGCTTTTGCCCGAGAAAAAAAACGATTTCAGTTTTTATGTGTGACTTTGATCACTGCTTTGCTGGTGGTAATCATCTAAGGTTGGGATATGTTGCGATGGGGTTGGCTCCTGCTAGGGGCTATAGAATTGAAATCTAGAGGACTTTGAGACTGAACCAACCGTGCCTGCTGGTGGCATACCTTGCAAGACCTTGTGGAGTCCATGACCTGAGGTTTATCCATATGGCCACATGGGAATAATTGTGAATAATTCAAAACCCTGGTACCCTGCTGTTCACATCCCAGAAATTAGCAGAATGGTGGTCATGCCAGAACGTGAATAGCACACAACTTTTGGGTTCATATTAAGCAACATTTTGTACGTTTAATCCATCAAAACCCATCTATCTATGCCTGTTTTTACATTCGATTTGACCTCCTGACAGGTGGACCAAGTAGAGAAGAGTGTCGCCCTCGGGAAATGGCAATGCATTCTCTTTCTTGTTGGTCAACGATGTTGCTCAGTCCCCAAAATTTTAGGTGTAAATTGACTAAAATTGCATGGATATGACTATATAATACTATATAAACATACATCCTTCATGACTAACTACCATAATTACCAGCTTTCTGAAATGGCGATATCATAAGCGGTTGCCCTACCATGTGGGGGCTCTGAGGCGGACAGGAAGAGAATGAAGCCCTGCAATTGAGGCAGCAGCGGGTGCCCCCCCCCCGAGATGGTGATGATCTCTATATGTATATACGTCCACAATCATCCACATATATTTATTATTATTATACATAGCCATAGGAAGTAAAGCATCATCAAATTAGTAGCAGGGACCCCCCTAATCCAGTTTGTTGAAACTGCCAACCAAGAATGGTGATGACATCAACAAGATGCAGCACGTGAATGGACATAACAATACATAACATGAGAACTATAGTTGAATCATGTTGAATCCAAATGCGCGGAACGGTTCCACATCATGAACTAGCAATACTGGGGATGTTTATCAACAACCAAGACGTGGAGGCACAACCAACGGACACCAGCAATGAGGGACCGAAGCCGCTGAGAAGTCAAACAATATCGGTGAGCATCGATGCAAACTGGGCGTACTCCAGTGGAAAAGGACATGATCTGTGACTCAGTTTGAAGCCTGTTTGGCGTGGGTCAGCAGCAGAATCTCAGCAAACATGCAAATAATATGCAAATGAAGTAAACAAAAAGGAGATATAAGATGATATAATCAAATTATACGATATTTTTTGAGGAGATTTCTCCCATAGAGGCGGGATGTCTACCACTTTTTTAATCCTCGGCTGGTGGTTTCCAGGCTGGAGCAAACGCGAGATGAACTCTCCGAGATGGTCGTGCCTTGGTCCCCTATCATCATTAAGCATTAGGTCGACATAGATTGACTAATGACATCTGATGACTATGATTCTATTCATATTGGCTATATTAATATTATCTATATATATATATATATCATAATCATCAATATCAACCACGGTAAAAGTCGCAGTTTAACGCTCATACCGGGATATGATCATTTTCTTATACTACCCTTTATGTATATATTGGGTATTATCGTCATTGGGAAACTCCATCAACCAACCATTATTTTGATACTCAAAGTGACAATGTTCTTTTTCCTTTTTGTCACAGCATGTCACAGTTTTTTTTTTCAGGGAAAACGTGCAGTTGAAAACCTTACAGTACAATGCCTGTAAACACACAATGGTAACAAGATATGTGAGTTGCAATTACTTGTCACAGTTTCTTACAGTACATTGTGTTACAAATTATGGTAACACACAATGTTTTCCTGTAAACAATCCCTGAAACCAATCCATCGATTTCTTGAAAAAGGAAACTTGCTGGCTGATGGTTCGTGCGATACTACCATTATGATATATCCATGGTAGATATGGTAGGAAACTTGCTGGCTGATGGTTCGTGCGATACTACCATTATGATATATCCATGGTAGATATGGTAGAATATTATATATATGATATATCCATATGATATATCCATTGATACTACCAATGTACTACCCCTATACAGTCTTGGGGATGTTGATCAGAATGGAGGCGAAAACTGCGGAGTTTGGCCCGAAGCCTTGGAGATGGCAGTTTGAGCTGAAGAGCCAGGTGACATTTAGGACATTTTAGAACCATATATATATATATTATATGTGTTACAATATCACATATCCACATAATTCAAAGCATTCAATATATATGTTAATATCATTTTACAATACGTTGTTTATACAGATAATTCAGATATCTTTGAGATATATTGTGAAACGCTTGGCCTTGATCCAGCAGTGCGAGGTGACCAGGCGCGAAAAGCGCAGGCGAATCATAGCAAGCAGATCAAGGCCCGTTGGCACTTCGGGGGACTTTTTTCCTTTGCATTTGTTTTTGGTCTAGGAATGCCTACAGTATCTTATTGGGATTTATTGGGGAAATTTGAGATTTGAGGTTCTGAACTGGTTTTTGGGGTAGCCTGTGGTAGCCTATTTTGGATTTTTGGCAACGTTTGGCAACATTTGGCCAATTTCTTGGCCACATCATCCGGAAAAAAACCAGCCCCCCCAACGAGGCACGCATAGCAAGTCGTACTCGTATCAACTATTGATCCTTTTGGGTCCAAATGTCACATCCGCAGCTGCTGAGCTTTAGGCAGTGAAGGAGGGAGGTAGTGCCCTACGTGATGCGTGACTTGATTGCAGGGATGATATCCTTGCTGGTAAGAGTTGGATGTTATATTATATAATGTTCGTAAAACAATGCCATAAACCATCCCCCTGTCATCACCATAAATAGGAGGTATTAAATATTATAATATATAATATTATATAATAATATATATATGTATTATACAGGATTATTGGTAAATATGAGCACTATTTCCATTATTGCCATTGTTACACAGATTTTTTTCACACCTTGTAAGATGTTCCTGATGTTCCGTGACCTCGTGTGGCCTGGATCGGATGCTCCGAGGCTCTCTGAAGTTGGGCAAGAGAAGGAAGACCTGCAGGCCCCGGTTGTGGAATTCAGTATGGGTCAACACCCAAATTCCAGGAACACACTTGGGAAAATCTTGGAAAACACTTGGGTTGAATCCGATTGATGCCGAGGTTTCTTGTTTTTTGCCACACTTTACGACTTTACGGGTTCTTTTGCCACCAGCTTGGTTTTTTGCCCAGTTCGAGCTCCAGCGTTTGCGAGACATCGTCGAAAGTCCGGAGCCTCATCCACCATTGGTCGGTCTCAAAATGGTTGGGATATCTCAACACATCACATCATTCAACAAAACAATACAAAACATGTGGGATCACTTTTCAAACATCACACCAGACATCAAAAAACATCAAAAAAATACACCATTTACTCTACATACCGTACAGTCACTACATATTCGCATCACAAATTCGCGGGAGACGCATCGGCCAGCTCCAACCTCAGGTGCCTCCCTGGCGCATGAAGATCGGCAAAGCCGGGCACGGGCACAGGAAGCGGTGAACGAGGTGGCCGAGTGATTTGAACGTGTGGCGTGGGAGACCAGAAGTTCTACCAGGTATCCGAAAATGGGGAAATAGCCTCCAAATTGAGTTTGTTTATGTTTGTTTCATGTCTTAAAGAGGGAAAATGGTGATTCATCAGCAGATTTAGGGGCATCCTATGTTCGAACCCATGTATTTCTCAACGTTCTGGGGCTGAAAGATGTATCGATAGCCAGTAAACAATAGTAAATGTTTTAAACTCAGGGCAGCACAATTCAATAACCCCCCGTCAGACAAGTCATAGTTGACAAGGGGAATCAACCGAAAAATGGGGCCTGAATCTGGCTTGAGTCGGATGTTCAATAGTCCAGACCCTCATAAATAGGTCTGGAGAAGCACCAACAATCACCCATTTTCACCCATGAAACTTGGATACTGTCCTTGCCACTGCCAGATGCTGTAAATGTTCAGCCGAGCGGTTAAAACGGTTTTCCAGGGCTTGCCCGGGGATGTACCATTGGCATGGCTCAAGGAACTTGCTTTGAACACAAGCCTGAAGTCCGTCAGCCTTGGCACAACACATAAAAACAGGACTGTCGGACATTTCGGCCTCAAATTGCATCAAACAGACATATTTAGATTATTTTAGATTGAGATTTACCCAAATTTTTACCCAATTTATCCAGAATTCACATCACATCAGACCCGGGCGAGAGCGCTAACACCATCGATGGCAAAGGATGTGGAACAAGGCGATCCAAAAGTCACGTCGCCTGCGGATGATTGGACATCAGTCCTCCTTCTTTCAGGTCGAAGATGCTGGTGATTTGACCATGGTATACTAGAGATATCCAGAGACCCATCAATTTGGATCATCTATGGGGATGTAAGCATATCATACCATATTTTGATATAAATACCGTAGATTACTGTAGCATTGTTATAATTTCAGCATTGTTTGATGACCATGAAAAACTCATAATTTTGTGGGGTGAACAAACAGGTCATGTTGCTGAGAACCCCGCATCATCTAGTTGATATTCTGGACCCATTCCCATGTGTGCCATGGACAAAAAAGGTGGATTATAAAAAAACACATGTGGGGATTTTCCGATTTCATAGAGAATATATTGAATATATACATATACGTATATATATATATATGCATACACACACATATATATATACACATACTATATACAGTGTATATAGAAAATAGAGTAACATCGTATTCATCCCATGGTAACTTCATGGCCAGGTGCCTGGGCCTGCGCCTTCTCCATTTTCTCCTCGGCGGTTGCAACGCTGTCCTTGGCAGTTGATGCCTCTGCGCCCAACGGCCTGGAGACATTGCCGTTGTCCTTGGCACTCATTTTGCAAGGCAACTTTGAAAAGCCTTGGGGCATCAAGAACTTTTTTTTGGAATTTGATAACTTAATAAAGTAATATACATATCTTTTTGTCACTTTGCGATTACTGCGCATGTCGACGCTTGGTGCTTGCATTGCACTATCGGTGAAAGTCCGGCTGCACAATGGACTCATGAATCACCTCTGTACATCTCAATTCTTGCAGGTCATGCGGTAACTCACACCAGGTGCTTTGCAAGTGGCGTTCCGTCAAAAACCGTGACACCGCAACAGCGATGGCCTTGTTCATTGCCACAGGATAGATTTTTGCTTTCGCTGTAGCAAACGTGCCATCACTTTGAATTCCTTGCAAAGGTTGATGCTTTGCTCTATGTGAACAGCGTCCTCTATTTCCTCTGGTCATTGTGATGTCCTTGAAAGTGCTAAGTCGCAACAGCAACAAGGTGGTCGGCTTGGTTGCTGCCAGCTCGTAAACGCACTGATCAAAAGAACATACTTGGAAGCATTCAAGCCTTGACAGAATCCGCAAAACTTGCAAGGGCCAAATGGAGGCCGGTTTCTGCTTCATAAGCCATACTGGAAACTGAGGATGCTCTAGGAAGCCACACATACCACTTTGAGCCGCAATAATCAGCAGTTCAACCAGAAATTGGATCAGTTTTGTCCCTGTGTTGACCTGGTCCCATTGACGCTGAGTAAGACCCTCAAGACCCCACGGGCTGTGGTAGGATCTCAGCGGCATAGGACCGCCGGGAGCATGCCTTGCTGCCGACCAGGTCTCGCAACTTGGTCCTCCTCCTATTCCCAGGATTTGACCGCTGCGCATTTTGCTGATCCAAAAATTCTTGGTATCTGTGTCTGTTAGGTCAGAGTACTTTTTGGCCAAACACAAATCAACCGATACACAAAAAATGTGATCAGTTCCGACAATGGCGTGGTCTTCTATACAATGTTGTAAATCGCCTTCTCTGCGAAATCCACTGAAAAAATGTACGAAGAGAAATCCATGGATATGCAACCGTGCTGCCTCGGCAGCTAAGCCGAAGCACTGAAACACGCCAGCCTCTCCCTGAATCTGACCGCCATTTGTATGCATAATGAAAGGCAAAATCTCCGTCTCTGCCTGTTGCGCTTCATCTGAATGTTCACAAAAACCATCAAGACCCTCAAAGGCTCGACCTGCAACTGGTATGCGATGGTGCCATTTTGCTCTCATCACAGCTGCTCCTTCCGTACCACACTTGGGAAGAAAGGGCCCATTTACCTTAGTTACAGGGAGGAAGGCCTTGGATGGGAGCCATCCCTGGGCTTTGAGAGCCCTGCTTTGTTCTTTTTCGAGTTGTTCAATTTGTTCAACATCTTGCTCAGCCGCTGGCACAAAACATGCTAAATAGGAGTCTTTGCAAGCTACAGACGCTCCAACATGAGCAAGCAACCTTGTCCTGTTGAAGAACATCTTACCACAAGCCAGGCAATCATTTCCAAGAACAAAATATTTCAAAATTGTTCGGTACTGATGCATGTGCCTAGCATGAACTGCCAGCGCTTTCTTTGACTCAAAACTACTACTGCACAGAGAGCAATTCCATCTGCCTTGCTTCAACTGCGAGTCTGGTAATGAAACATCTGCAAATTTTTGAACCTGCATCTGCATTCTCAATGTCCATAGTTTCCCTTCCGCGGCTGCAGACTGGAAGTTAAGGCATGACCCCAAGGCAGCCTTGATCCTCCCATTCCATTTCTGATCAATCGCTGCGAAAGAGAGAAGATCATTCACACTTTCAAATTCAGGCACCGAGCCTGATGGTAACTGTTGTCTCAGCCACTTCCCTGACTCAAGCACCCGCACAACCCACGAGCACTCACTTTTGTTATCATACAGAAATGACCACAACATGGCTGGAGCTGTCTGAATGGCCCTGCGAACATATCGCAGTCTGTTAGCATGCAGCAAGTCCCAAGGGCTGTGAAGACCACACAGCGCACAAAGTTCCGACGTGGAGAACTGAAATGCAGGTACCGGCCTGATCTTATTGCCAGCCAGAGAAGCAACTTGCTGTTTGATACCATTCGCCCATGTATTGATCTCATTATCTGTGACCCAAGCCCAAGTGTGCACATTGTAACAATGCCTAGATAGAACTAAGGCTGCGAACACCGAGCTTTTTGTGGAGTCATTCACATTCTTTTTGCGATAGAATTGCCTACTGAGCTGACCAAAGGCTTTCCGTGCTTGTGCTACCCTATATCTCATGTCCTTCTGCACGATCGCATGCTCTTGAACAAAGGACCCAAGATGTTTGTACGAGTGCACAATCTTGAGAGATTGAGAGCCATGTTCAGTGATTATTGGCAAATGGCCTTTGCTCTCATGCCACAGCTGATGCTTGGTGGCCTTCGACCTTGGACCTGCCAGTTTGACTATCGCTTCCGTTTTTCCGGCCTTGTAGTTGATCACCAGACCTCTTGCTGCGGCTGCATCATGTAAACAAGATGAAACAACCTGCAACGATGAGATCACATCGACAGCTGATTTTGAATGTATTGCGTATGCAACATCATCAACGAATGTGATTTCAGCAAATGCTCTGGGCGGAATCGCATCAAGGTTGGACAGGTCTCTCACTAATTGAGGAGTTCCAAACCAATCCAAATCTGAGGAGTCTCTGATCCTCTTACGAGCATCCAAAATCACAAGCTTGAAGGCCATGTTGAAGAGAATGTCAGCTACTGGATCTCCTGGTCTTGTGCCTCTTTGTGTGGCCACCTGCCCGGAGATACCATGCATTGAGAAATGGGTGCCTGAGAACATGTCTCTAAGCATTCCCTCACAGTGTGAGTCGACACCATCCGTCGCATAGTCATTCGCAACACACTCTCTGATTTCATTCCACTCATCCGGCATGATACCCAACTCTTTCATTGCAAAACAAATTACATCATCATGAATCTCTCCGTCAAACAGCGAAGACCTGATCACAGAATAAAATGCCGACTGCAGATCAACAAAGAGAACCGCACATGACGAGTTGGAATGCCTTGCCCATGACATGTGCGCATGAAGAAAGTGATGTGCTACATCTGTTGAGCATCCCTTTCTCCCTCCCATTTGAATGAGAGAGTTGTCTCGGTCCCAAACCTCTGCTAAATGCGTCCTAATCTTGGCATGGTGGATTTTGGCGCAAATATCTGACAGGAAGATCGACCTGTACGAGGCAGGTTCACTAGGCGAACCTTTTCCTTTGAAAAGTGGCACAAGCAGGCCACCCTTCCAGGACAACGGCTCTCTCATATGCCAGGAGGCTTTCACGATCAAAGGCGCAAGCATTCTCGCAACCTGGATTCCACCGCACTTGATTATATCAACAGGAAGCTGTCCAGGACCAGGGACCTTGCGATTTTTGAATTTCCTGATAAGCGACAAGATCTCATATGGATCAGCACAGTTGATCACCTTGCGATCTGCTCCAGAGCAACGTGTGCGATGCAATTGTTGAAGCTGAATCGGAGAAGCTTCTAACCCTGCTTCAACCTCGGCAAATTGCTTCATCCAGGTCTGCTGACATTCTTGGAAAGACTGCGCAAACTGACCACTGTCAAGCTGCAGCCTGGGCAGCGGTCTCGGCCCTTTCTCTAAATCTTTCTTTCTTCTACCGAGTCTTTGAAGCTTGCGATAGACCTGAGCTGTATCATGACAACTACCAGCCTCATTGATACTGTCCAGCCATTCAGAGTACCACCCTTTCTGATCTCGTTGGACCATTGGTTTCAGCATTTTTTCAAGCACTTTGATTTCACCAATCAGCTCAGGATCATCAAACTGCAGGTTCCTGGCCATGTCCAGTGCCTGCCTTTTCAGCTGAATTCCATTGATAGTTGCCTCGCTGAGCATGGGCCTATACTTTTCAATCTTTGTTTTGCGAAAGTGCTGTCTGGCAATTTGCAAAATGTTGGTCTCGAGGATTGCTGAATGATCATCAACAGATGTTGACCATGAGGGCAATGGCAACGTTGAGAGAGCATCAGCAAATTCCGCTTGAGACGTGGGATCTTTAATTTTATCATAGTCCCACGCAAACTTCCTTTTGACCTCTTTGACATTCCAAAATCCAGCAATCTCACAAACCGCAGGGCAATGATCCATGTGTCCGAAGCCACCGTCAAAGTCACTTTGAACATGTGAGCTTATGCAGATCTTGAAAAACGCTTCGCTCAATGCAACATAATCTCGTCGGAGAAATCCTCCTCTTGGATGTTTCCATGTGCCCGCAGAACCTGTGTGATTTTCAAATGTGGCTGGAACATACAATTGATTCGTAATAAGGAACAATTGGAACTCGTATCCTTGAGCATTCATGGGCTCTGCCTGGTGAGTACCAAAGAAGCCACACTCATGATCGGCCAGCGGCGCGTTGGCATCAATCAGGAGTATAGCATGTCCAGCATGGCATTTCTGCAGGTGCTTTGACAAATCATCCCACCATTGCTTTACCATGTCAATTGGTCGATCAGCAGAAACACATGGTGCATGTGCAACCACAACCTGAAAGGAGATTGCACCTTCGATTTTTGCAATCAAAACTCTGGCATCGGAAACAGAGATAGTGATTTTGCAGTCTGCAAGACTGACTTTGGTGCCATCTGGCAACACACACAACGGCAAATTCTTATGGATCCACAACTCGCATCCAAAGTGCTTGGACCTGCCACATTGCTGAAATCCAGAAGAAAAAATGCAGTAATGATCGGAGACCCTTTTTCCTGTTGAAGTCCTGGCCTCTTGGACTCCAATAATTGCGATTTTCTCCTGATGAAACTGCATATCTAACCTAGTAGTGCGTCCACCAGATGTCACTTCAGGCTGCTCTCCATCACCCAAAGCCAGGCCATTGTAAGTAGCTACCTTGATTTGCATCTTGAGATCATGTCTGGTGCATTCATTTTCTGCGACTGTCACGCCTATACGTTTAGCTGAAGGTGTAGGCTGCCAGACAGCTCGCCCATGAAGCGC